CTTGTGTAGATAAGCATTTATTAGTATGTTTTGTATAACTGCTAGTTTTTTTCTACTTGTGCAGGCTGTTGTGTTACTGTGTACTGTTTGGATGTTGATATTGGTCATAACCTTTTGGGTAGTAGGTGTAGCATTTGTTGCATTATTTGTCTCCTTGTTTTGGTGAACGTCATCATCTGTATCAATTTCTGGTATTAGGTTATAAGGAACTAATGGTAGTTCATTTAAATATTTTGGTGCCACATAGGCCCTTTGTGTATCTTCATATACTTTAATTGTTATTCCTAGATCACAGCTATGAATACTTCTAGGTAACTTGGCGTTAATGTTTATGAAGTTACATTTGGAGTAGTTTGTGAGATCAAATAGAATTGATTGAGTAACATTGTTGTGCTTGCATATCCATTGTGCAGGAAATTTGACCAAATTTGAAATGCGTCCTGATCTGGTAAGGTCAATAGTATATAAGTATCTGTCAGCGAAGTTAGGGATAATAAAGGTAACAGTGAATGTAAGTTTTGTCCAGTTTTTGATAGTAATATTGATGAATTCCTTGGTGTATTCTGCTGTTGGGTCCTTTTGTTGTGTACTAGCAGTTGTTGTGGCCTTTGAATTGGTCATTTTGCAAGAGAAGTAAGCTAAAGGGTAGGCAAAGAACCCACTTTGTTGTCTAGCAGTATTTGGGGTCTGTTGTGTAGAGGTTTGCATTTGACTATTGCTTGTGCTGCTATCGACAGTTTGCATGTTGTCCTGAGGTGTTTCCTGAGGTGGGGTTGACAGGTCCATAGAACCTTCACCACTTGCGAGTAGAGAGTTGTAATGAGTGTTGTTTATCTGTTCTCTGTCCAGTAGTTGTTGCTCTGATGCAGGTTTCTTAGAAAGCTTATTGTTTTATTATATTTTTAGCTATGCTAGACAAGTTTACTTAAGGACCCGGGTATGTTTAATTAGTAGTTTCTTGAGTTTTCTTTGTTCGGGGTTTTTTCACTTTTGCTCCAGTTTTGGTGAAATTGATCTGTGGTTAGAGTTTCTTTTATATTTATTTTATTTATAATTTATTATAATAAATATTAACATAAAGATGTGGTAACTTAGTGAAGTGGTGAAGTTGTTACACCCCAAGTCACAGGATCAGAGTTCGAATTTCACTAACAACAAAAATTCAAATTTCAGAATATGTTATAGTAGACTGTGAGTGTAAACAGATGGATTGGTATCTAAAATCTGGTCATACCAGTTGTATTGAGAGGCTGTGAAATGTAGTGTAATATATAAGTTACATGAAACCAAGTGAAACAGCTGTGTAAATCCAGAGTTGCTGCATACAGGAGCCCCTTGGCAAGACCTGAATAGAGAGGTAGCACAGATCTTTAACAGTATTACATAAAGGATTATCAAACAGAAAACTAGAAAACTGAACAGAACTGAAGTGTTTAGCAAGGTACTTCACCAACCTGATTGCTGAAGAGTAACTAAAGAAAAAGAACCCAACTATGGTGACCAAGAGCAGATCACAGCCCTTCCGAGCTATCTAGATTGGAAGTTTGGAATGATTGGTGTATGAGGATAGTTATATAGTGGGTGCTGGGTTTGGATGAACTCTATAAGAGCAGTAGTAGGTAATGGTAATGGCTTCAGCTTACAAGTACTTGTTCTCAGACTCGGCATAAGTTACCGAAAGTCTAGGTCAGCCAGATTTGTGGGTATGGAAGGCTCTAACAGGTTTACCCTGAGAATAAAGGGTTTAATAGGAGTCTGCTTTAAAGTTCTAAGTCAGGTGTCTGAAAATAAGGAGGTACTATATATCCTCCTAAATTAGATAATTAATATATATAGCAATATATATACGGTTTGGTACATCATATTGTAAAGTTAACAATAATCGAATAAAAGAAGATGATCAAGAAATCACTTAATACCAAAAAAAAAATAAATAAAAATAAATATTAACATTTTTAATAATTTAGAGCACTAAGATTTGATAATCGAAAATTTATAACTTGTATAGTTCAAGATAAATATGGAGTAGCTAAAACTGGTAGAAATAATGGACCTGTAGCAAAAGATACACAATCAATAAAACATAATTTTAAATTTTACAGATAAAAAAAGAGTATCTAAAAAACAATTAACAAATAAAAAGAAGTATAATAAATCTATTGTTAATGAAGAAGAAGATTTATTAACAAAATTAGAACAGCAAATAGCTTTAGAAGAATGGCGATTAGAACTTGAAGAAAGAAAGGAAAAATTTTGAGAAAAAAAGCTTTTAAATTATGAAAAAGCATGTGAATTAGATGTCGAAGAAGAATTAGAGTATGATAGTTAAAAATTATACTATTGTGATATTAACTTCAAAATTGCAATTTTTAATGCGATTTGATATTTTAATTTCAATAATGCTATAATAATATTGCGCTTGTTAATTTTTAATGAAATTATAATAAATATAAATGAATGCACTTTAAAAAATTTGTTATTTGGTGTTTATATATATATCAATACTATATTATAATCATATATACTTACAAGAAATTGTATAAAATCTTGAAAAGTCAATTAAAAATTATTATTCTGGTCTAAACTGGTCAATTGAAGCTCTAATAACTTATATACAGTAAAATTAATTTTATTTATAAATATATAATCTATATAATAAACATACAAATATATTTTTCTGTATAAATTTTAATATACAATACACTAAATGTATAAATTTTTATTATGTAATATACCAAATGTATAATTTTTTTATTAGTTTTATTACATATTGTATAGTTTAAAATTTAATATTATACATAATGTATACCACACTATACTATACTTCTCTGACCATCTATACTATACATATTATCGTAATACCGACATATGTGTGGCTTATTGCAAATGTGTTTTCTTCGATCGCATTTTGGCTTACAAGTTATTACATCATGAGGGAAAAAGAAAAAGCCCGCTTACGTATTGGATCTCTGCACTTACATACTATGCAGAAATTTGTCTATCCTAATACACTGTGACTACATGATGATTACATCGTTACTGTTAAATTTAATGGTATTTGTATGGTTACTATGTAGTCACGATATGGTGTGCATTAGATATGATAAAGATGCTAAGCTCAAAGAATATTTCATTAACAATGAAATCTTCTTCATACAGTAATAAACATTAAAACAGATCAAAATTTAATCAGGAAAGTCAATATAGAAATAACTATATATTTAGGATTGATAATCGATTCTAAACCGATTTTAAGGTTTCTATCATCGATTTTGATTTTAGAATCGATTTACAGCCTTACTCTTTATCACTTTGTTATGTAACAAGCTCTTACAATTTTATTTTGTTAAAAAAAAAAAACTAGACATTCGCATAAGAGATTACCGAGCGAATTTCAAAATTTAGACAATTAAATATACGAATCCGGTAACAAAGTTGAATGTGAAAAATCTAACATCTAATCAATTGCAAGATTTTGTGGGGCAACTCCATTGAGAATTGCCATATAACCATACACTTAGTTATATTCATCACCCTGTCAGTGTAGATGCAATACAAAAAAGGCGAAATTTGCACCTTTTAAGTTACCTTCTTGGCGCCTAAATATTATTTAATGATGTGCATCAATAACGGGTATATAGTAATCAAGATAGTATGTACGGTTTGTAAAAGAAAAACTTCGTCAAGCCTATGGTACTTTTACTAATTACCCCAACATGAAAAAAGGACAATACTAGCGCTCACCCTAACCCAAACCTTTAAGAATGGTTACTTGTAAAAATTGAAATTTTACAAGTCTATTTACGTAACCGTATGTACTATCAAAATTTAGTATAATTTTCGTATGTGTGTCCGAATTTTTACTAGCGTACAGTACTACTTTACTGAATACCTTCAATAACGTTCCACCTCTGACGTGACCTCATCCAATCAAAAATCTTTTAACAATGACTTAAATTATGATATTTAATCAACAGTACAGGCAATAAATAAAATTACTACAGTACCCTTACCCCGGCTGGAGGCACTAGCTAATGGCTAGTATTTTTTTAAAAAAATATTTGAAATCAAGTTTGATTTGAAGTCAAATTACCTTCAAACTTAGTCTAAAGTTTGATTTATTGATTTGTTAGGAACCCTAGTTCTGGTATGTTCAGCCCAAATCCTAAATCCCAAATATTCGGACGGCAACTATAGTCATGATATTGATTTAAATTTAAATCCCTTTTCTGAAAACCTCTTTTGACTTAACAACAAAATAAAGCTAAAAAGGATAAAGGATAATGCTTCATTTATTATCAATAAATCAGCAGTAAAGTCATCACAACTAATAATTTTCTGAATCTCTCACATATTTTATTGCTAATTTATTAAAATAAGTTTGTTCTTCAACAAGTACATTAGTGAATTTAAATTATCTTTTTTATTGCTTTAAACTACCAAATTATGTATGGTCAATTCTGTTTTTTTTTAAAAAAACCAATTAAATAAATTAAGCATTGAATTATTTTAGAAGTCTTATCATTATTTTACTTATTAATAGTAAATAAATTTGTTGCATTGTCTATAAACCATTTTTTGGACCTATTAAATTGCAAGTTATATAAAGTTGTATTATTCGTATTATACTAGCAGATATATAGAGATTATTAGGCAACACCAGTAATTTCTGTATGCACGGTTATCATAATATGAATATAATACAATTTTGTATAACTTTCGGTTTCAGATTTCAGGTAATTGAGCAGGCACATCGTCATCGTTATACTAATTTAAATACAAATATTTTACCAATTACGTACTGTAAATAATGTACGACGTATATAAGTCAGCTATCATTATAAAAGCAGCTAGTAATAAATTTTGCTAATATTAATACAAATATATTATGAGTAATGAATTAAATGTATTCATTTCATATATTGTAAGAAGCTTTATTTTTACAAATTTAGTATGTTCACTATAAGAGATACAAGAATATATAATGACATCTCAATTATTTATGGTGCAGGGATGCGTACTATATTGTTTGCAGTATCTTTTTCAAGAGTTTTGTTACCACCAAAATCTACTGCATTTTTAAATGACAAATCATTCAATGTAGTGGCCATCTTTGCTGGACTTTGATTACCGCTTTTAGCAATAATAAGAGCAATTGTACCAGCAACATGGGGTGATGCTTGAGAGGTTCCCGAATCTACACTAATATCAAATTTAGAAAAAACACCTGCTGACAAAACTCCAAGACCTGGAGCAAAAATATCAGTACATTTTCCAAAGTTAGAGAAAAAAGCAATTTTACTCGTTTTTTTATCGGTCGGGTCAACTTGTACTGCACCAACAGTTATTGCAGTTGGTTCAGATGATGGTGAAGATTTGCATGCATCATCAGCATCATTTCCTGCTGCCACAACCACATGAACACCTGCATCTGTGAGCGCTTTTACTGCTTTATTTAATGCAACTGCTTTCTTTCCCCCAAGAGACATGCTAAAAAAAATTTTTTAAATTAACAATTTTAGTTTTCAACTAATTTATCATAATTTAAGCATAATTAATACATACTTGACTACAGAATTTTTGTTTTTTGATTTTTTATGAGTGTCTAGAACGAACGTCAATCCTTTTATAATGTCCGAAATTTCACCCGCACCAGTAGCATTCAAAACTCTTACAGAAATAACCGTAGATTTCTTTGCGACGCCAAAAGTTTTACCGGCTACAATTCCAGCAACATTAGTTCCATGACCATTTTGGTCACCATCACTTGTGCAATTAGCGCAAAAAAAGGCACCAGATTTAGCACGTTCTTCAAATTCTGAGTGTTCCTTAAATATACCACTATAATTCAGAAAAATTATTAAATTATTTATTCTAAAATTTAATGAATACTAAATAGGAGTTAACATTTGAACTACTTACGTGTCCACTATAAAAACATTTACGCCTTTACCTGCCGTATCAGGAAATTCAAATTTTTCATCTAAAGTACTGCCTTTATCTATACGATCCAAATTTATATTTGGGATTACGGTTTTCTCGATTTCACGTGGAACCACGAAATTAATTTTCATTGTAAAATCCTTTTCCACAACAGCGACTTCATCTCTCTTCTTTAATTTTTTGCTAGCAAATTCATGAGTAAACCAGGCAGTGTATCCGTAAAGACCATCAGCAGAAAAATCATTTACAGTGTTTTTATTTTTGATCGATAAAATGCTTTGTTTTGACTTTATAACAGTTTTATTGTAATTATTCTTTAACCATTTATAGTGTTTATCGCGACCTGATTTAGATTTAAAAATAACATTATATCTAACTTTATCATCATTAACACTTCTTGCATTCGGCTCAACCGAAGTAACCAAAACGAAAAAATAAGTTAATAAGGAAATAAAGGTAATATATTTTAGAAAACCCATTTCTTTTTCAAAAAGAAAAAAGGTTATTGGGATAGTGATTGTTATGGAATTAATATGGAATTTAAATTAAAGAATTTATCTTTTCAGTTTTTTTTTTAAAAAAAAAAGAAAAGATAATAAAAGAAAGATGAATAAGATAATGTATGAAAGAACGATAAACTTCAACATTACGAGTATTTATTCATTTTTTGTTACCATTTGTTTTGTTTAAAGTCTTATTGGAGATCATCTCGATCATGCAGATTAGAAATAGAACTAGATTTAACATTATTAATAATTTATAGGTATTAACTTTTTTTTTAAATACCATATTATGTACGTTTATAGAATATTTGATCAAAAAAAATACTTCAGAACTTTGTTTGCGATGAACTTGGACATTTATGAATAAATTGAAACATAATGAAAATTAAAAAAAGCTAAGTATATAAAACCACATTTTTGGGTTGATTTTATCATATGTACACCCTAACCCTAACTTAACTAGGAAATTCCAAATTCTATTCCTGTAGTATAATAGATGTTATTTTTGGTGATGTAACATGAAAATCACTTTTTTCAACGCTATATCCTTACAAAATTTTGGTATAAATTAAACCTCGTCACGAGCATGATCCTAATAATATTCGGGATCAGCTCGAAAACCAAAATGAAAAAGCGAAAATGCAAGAAACGATGTCTTGAGTTACGAATTAAAAACGATAGAAATAAAATTTTATGAGTAGGAAATTTTATGTGTAAGTTGATTATTATTTCTATTGCCCCTAATTTTAACGTCCTAACCTTAAATTTTTAATTTTGAAACTTTATTGTTACGTTGATTATTCTTTTTTTGGACACATTTTTATTTGTTTGAAGCTATCCAAGGATTTTCATTGATCAACATAAATTGACCAATCAGATCTTACCAAAACAACGAAGATGTGTGCCATAATTGGTTATCATTATCGCTATAATGAATTACATTTTTTTGCCGTAATTCATTATAATCACGACTATGGTAAATATTTTGCCAATCGATTAGTTGTCAACTATGTGACCAAATTTGACGATTAGCAAATCAAACCAGGGTTTGCAATTATTTGGTTAATTAATTGATTAGTGGCGCACTACAATTGGTCAATTAGTTGCAATTTTTGTCACACACAGTATGTAAACATAATAACTTACTGATCTTTGACGTCAAAATTATAGTTAAAAATAAACTTACTGTCATGCTGATGACCAACACCCCTTGTATCGGTATTGCTAGGGTTGGGTACGATCACGGGTTACCCGATCGTAA